TCTGCTTTGGTTAGGGACTAGCAAACTAAGAAGAACGTTTGACAGCGTCATCGCAGTGCCTTATCAAAAAATTGTTTTTGTTTGGGCTCGTAGATTTCAGTGGCATGTTCAAAAAGCCTATCAGTACTAACTACAATATTCGCTCCCTTTTCTAATCTTGTTCTAGTATTGTTGCTTGATAACGTGGAAGACATCTGTACTTCAAGTGTGTCAAGCCTTTGAGTCGGTTAGGTCATGTGGAACTGCTTCGTACCGCTTGAAGACGTATTGCACTGAAGACACGCGTGAAAGTACTTGTTTGTATCTCTTATGCTTCACGCTTCCCGAAGGTTCCGTTAACGCTCAAGGCAGTAAACGGCGAAACATGTTACGGACTGAATATGGATGGGCTACCGTGAGATTTCATCGACAGTCGTTACTACGATACATATTGTTCGACCGTAACCTGACAGCTGTCGCTGCTGATATTATGATGCTTCGTTTTGTTTAAAAGTGAAGTAGATCTCAATCTGACGCCGTCGTCGTCATGAATTTAACGAGCTATGACAACACATACGAACAGTTATATATACAACATACATCTGTAGCTCGTAATATTTATAGTGACTGGAGCCAAAGAACACTGAACGAAAACACGAGTTCAAGCATCACCAGGGCCCCCAAGCTGCGCGTTTACCTACTGTCTAGTGCAATGTTAACAGCTCGTGACATAGCTTTCACGCCATTAGACAGGAATCGAACATTTTGGGCATAAATGTCTCCCAGTTAAAGGAAAAAAGTTGTCCGAAAAAAAGACCTACTCAGCTGCTAGCTAGAGCGATTGACGCGGCTCGAAAATTGAGGCTTCTGAGTTAGATGGTAATCACTCTGTCGACGTTGTCATTTTAAGTACCCAAAACACGAGCTACGAAAGGACTCTCATCTCCTTGCCATTGCCGTTCGTTGTTGTTTTCGCAATTTTTGACTAGATTTATTGACACAGTCAAAGAGTCGACTGGTCAAAGAAACAGGTGAAATGAGACAGACATCTGTTACAGATATTTTTTGCGTACCTATTGTATCGTATTGTAAGTTAACTAGATGATGTATTACAACTGAGATGAAAAATGGCAGGTTTATGCTGCATCTGTCATAGAGTAGACTATGCATGGGGACACGACGACAGGCCTGTGCGGCGAGCCAGCTTGAAATAGATTGATGTCGCTTGTCTAAATGGAAACGGACATTGAGACGAGGTTTTCGAGTGTCCCGATAGAGAAAGCAAATGTTATTTATTGTAATTTCAAATCAAAATCCTCCCATGTTAATTCTGAAAATTAACGTACTCTAAATAAGGATCGTTAGCAAAAACGGGACTGAACAAAAATCGAATGTGGCAAAAAATCGTTAAAGTTTATCTGGACTTTTACCTACCTAGCAGGTCAGCGTTTGATGTTTGCATCAACATCACGAATTACCAGTAACAGCTCTTCGCGCTACTTCAATAGGTGCTCAAGAGGCTCATCGACATAATTCCTATTGCAGATTTTCCCCTTTAGTTGACAGAAATTTTCATTTTTATATGGACTTAGATTATGGAGACCGTGTTCGGCGAAAATTTCGGGTAGCCAAAGAGTTTCGTTTCGTTCGTGAGGTTTCATCCGGCACAGGTACATTGGACAATAGCTGACCAGTAGTGAACTTCATACCTAATTCGATGATTTTGATTAACGAATGAATACATACCCATTACAAATGAACCGTCAGCCAAAGTTTGTTCCACATTAGCCCGAACGCTTGTGTATCTATCATATTTACATAAACTGGTTGTGACGATAACGGATTGTGACAGATTCAGCTGCACCACTGTAATTACTCCTATAGCGGTTATTGCTGCCGCTGGCGGCGGCGGCGGCGTCGTCGTCGTTCTGTGGTAGCAGTGAATCGGAACGGCACACGGAAGCATCATCGACGTTTGATAATGCTATTTGCCATCCCTCTTTTTCTAAAAATAACGCCAAAAGCACAACACTCGTGCGTTGCACAGACGGCCCTGTTTAAAGAAGTTCGTGGTAACAACAGCAACAATAATAGCGGCATCCGACCGCCAGCGGCGGAGGCAGCCGCTGTCGACACGCTGATGTCTAACGAACCCGTTAGGGAGGCAGCAGCCATGTTCAATGCACCCAAAGAGCAATATCAAGAGAGAAAGATCGCTCTAGTTTCAAATCAGGTAACAAGAGCGCGAAGCAGACTATCTGGGGCTGCTGAGGCCTCGCAGCAGGCCCACCCCCAACGCTCCAGCCACAGTTCGTTTTAATTGTACTGTTTCACCAACGTCTCAAAGGCATACGGCACGTTGGGCATGCGAAGGACCTTGCATCGTTGAACCGGTAGTGGCAATGCAGTGGCATTAATTGCTACTGACACCGACACCACGGGGAGATGTGCATGTACATATGCAGCAGCTTTTGGCTCTCGTCAGTTAGCCTTACTACTTACACGAAGAACGTCCGTGTATATATTGGTCGACAGCAAGTCTAAAGTATGCTGGCCTGCCGTGTAGAGGAAGGCCGACATGGGGGTGGCATAATAGGCGCGCTGAGACAGGCTGCTGTGGGGGAACGCCGCGTTGTTGACAAAAACCTTGCATCGATCTTCGGTATAGCAACAGTGTTGGTGGCCTATTTAAGTAGTTATATGGGTCACTTGAATCGGAACTCATTTAGTATGCTATTATTGATATAGTAGCAAGCCATGGGGTAATATGGAGGGTTTGAATGACAGCATTTTTTGCAGCAGTTTGCAGTAGGTCAACCTTTACGCTGTGCGGTATAGTAAGCTATTGTTTTTAAGAGGGCTTAAAATGGCCCCTCGATTCATCATCGAATTACGTTATCATGGCTATAAAGTACAATAAGAGAAGGACAGGTGTAACAATGTGTTCAATAATATCAATCTCTGACTGTTATCGACAAACCCATCGATGAAAATGGTCATGAAATTAATTGTTGGCCGTAATCACGTTACGTGTATAAGCGCCCTATGATTGACTAATTGGCTGACACGGTTAAATGGCAGCCTTTTTATCGTACCAACGACGCGGCTTTTTGCGACAGGTTATGAAGTAAAGCAAGCTACGACAGGAAGCCAAGTCCCTTCGAGGAGGTAATGGCTTCTAGCATAAGGCGTACGTATGGTAGTTACAATTACATGTGATGATGAAAGGAGACGATCTCTCAATAGGCGATGATGAAAGGGACAATTGGGCAAAAATAGCGCACGCTTCTGCGCCCTGGTTTACGTCAGCGAAAATAGCTTGGTGAGAATCGTATGCATAAAATACATAAAAAGTTGTTCAAAAACGGGACCACGTTATCTCTTCCATCAGTGTATCAAATGTGTTTGAATGTTTAAAACGGACACGTAAAGGAGGGTGAATATTCTCTGTGTGAATACGCCGAACAGGGTAAATTAATTAATCATTAACAAAGAGGAGATTTTCGTGGCGTAATTGTGTCTCCAAGAAATCAAATTAGCAATGATAATAACATTCAGCCTATGATTACTAAGGAAGCTATCATTAGAATCTGTCCACTCATGCTTCTTTCTATATTCATGCATATATTAGGTTGTCACAAGCGAATCCGGTGGACTTTGAAACTGAATGATATTTAAACCGGTTAAGCTAGGGTGACAATTCTCAATGTACGTTAGAGCTATGCCCCTCTTGTTTTGCGGTCGTTCCAGCCCTCTGCTGGACAGATATACACCTACCATTCACGTTCGCATGTGCAATTTCTCTATCTGCGGCGTTTAGAACAGAATCGACCGTGCAATATGCGTGCCTGCTAGTTATCTTTTTTAAGGCGTAAGAAGCCCCGTGATCATACGAACTTGTATCGGGAGAATAAACGGGTCAAAGCCAACGTAAAATGTTCCTTTACTCAAGTAGTTGAGGCATGACAATGAGTTCTAGCGTTCGTTTCGCCGTCATGCCAGCGATCCTTGAGTCTTTTGAGAAACTCGAGGTAGTAAGCTGCATTTGTCATTTGCTTTTGGCCTAGTAGACCACAGTAGCAAATGTTCTTAAACTTATTCGATACGGCCACCGAACTTGGGTTCTCTCTAGGGCGACTCCGTACTCCCTGATACGACTCTTTCCTGATTCCTCCCCGGCTGGTGGTGGTACGATTGAACCCATCCTGTCTCGTCTATGGAACTGTTCTTTGTCGATTAAGGTTCCACAAATCGCGAGCGGAACGCATAAGACGCGCTTCCGACTGGCTTCTCACGGAGAACCGATCTGTTGCTCAGTTTCCGCATTTTCAGCCTTTGGGCTATAACTCTATAATACGCTATATGCGAAGTGCCAGCTTTGGCTGATAGGACTTTAAGACCTTAAGCTATGCCTTCGCATAAAGTCATCCTAAATACAGCAGTACGTACTCGTCGATTGCTGATCGTCAACATGCCAGTTTCCCTTCACTATTCGCGTACTGTGTTTTCGCTTAAGGCCTCATTGGCCAATGTTTTTACCATACTTCCGTGAATTTCCGCAGCGATATGATTTTCATAAAAAAAAAAAAAAAAAAAAACGTTGATTTTGGACGCTAAGAGACATTTTTTTTTAACTACTATCTTCTGGAGTAAACTGTCACTGCTAGAGGACGAGCCATATTTACCAAATAGATTTCGTCCCTTGCGGCGCATAAAAAAGTTATTCAATTTTAAAGTTTACCATATTTGCTTGAAACAGCCTAATATAATAGATTATTAGCAGAAGTTGGCATATGCTTTCACTGTTACTATGACGTGTTTAAATAAGCCAAATTACTAAGTTGGAGCATCTAAATGTAGGGTTGCATCCACCATGTGTGTATGTTCATTCACTATATGCATGGCGGCATCAAACATATTGCCTCGCATTGGGTTTCTGCATCGCGTTGAGCAGTTAGTCGGATGGGAGTGAATCAATCTCTGCCATGGTAAACGATAATTATCAACCTAAAGTTACTTACTTGTACAGTCCCTTTTCCGGTGTCGTATATTCACAGAGATCACATTTATACACCTTGATAGGATTCTCGAGGCCCATGAGCAGCTTGACTGCGGACACTGAGAGCGGAAACGGAAGCTTTTCCTGTAGCGCCTCTACTGAAATTGAGCAAACATATAATGCAAGACAATAGCTAGACGAATGAATACAATGGCAGATGTTGGACACAAGCTAATCAACAAATCGCAGTAATCATTCAATCATAATGATGGCCAATGGGTCGCCAAACTCGAATGTGGTGACTCATCTCAACTGGGACAGAAAATGCCACGAATAAAACTAGTGGTTTCGGGCGGAATACGGGACGTGAATAGGCAGGCCAAGCAAAGTTAGTGGAAAATGCACACTAGGAACACGATTTAAGGATGGTTAGAAAGGATGCAATTTAGAAGTTAGTTGGTCGATTAAGAAAGGGCGACAGGAGGTCATAAGCAGGCGTGCAAATTCGAGCGAGTTCGGATGATTGGAACGCAGGCTGTGTTGATTGGTTGATGGAAAATGATGGAGGTGGTATGGTGACCAAATCTGGAAAGAAACGATTATTAGAGTAAATATAAATAAACAGGGGTTGGCAGGCCAAGATTATCCATTTTGTTAAGCTTGCTTATAAAGAGGAATGCACGAAATGATGACTGTTAGATTCTAATCATGATTCTCACGAAACCAGCCGCAACGAACCACACGTATAGGTTTTTATGTAGGGTGCTCAGATATCGTTATTTGACCCTATGGGAGATTCATTGAAGGTCAACCCTTCTAAGAGTCACATTCTGTTCATTTTTATTCTTTATTACCTAAATACATGCTGAAATAGTGACGCTTCTTCCATAATAAAAAAGAAAAAAAAGGCAAGAAAACAATACAGAAAAAAAACTGTATTTCGGCAGACGTTAAATTTGGCTGAATACATTGAATGGATGGTAGGATTTTGAAGATTTGAAGAAGGTTTCACGTTTTCTGACTTAAATTTCTTTGCATTGTTTCTTTTCTATTTTAGAATGAGTATCTATACGCTGAACAAAAAATTGAAATAAGGTTACAGAAAAGCTTAGTTTTAAAACCATCGAACTTTTGTTGACCTGCCACAGAATTGCGTAATTTAGAAAAAAAAAAAAAACATAATTCTGATTTTTTTTTCTATCGATATACTGTGTAGGAAATGGTGGCTAAACACAATGCAGATTAATAACTACACTCGGGACTGACTAACAATTAAGTGTTTATTAATTTTTTTTCTAGTTAATATGCACATTGATTCCGCTTTTTGACAAAGACGTTTCAGGGTAGCGGCCGATCAGGGGTAGTACTTCTCTATGATAAGCATATGGCCTAGTCCATCGTATATGATGTCCTTATAGGTCGACTCAATGTAGATCATCTGTGGGCCGAAAACAACATGCACGTTAGGATTATCATGACGTGTGGTTTCGCTCCTGATATACCTAACAGAGAAAATTGAGTTGTACGCTAACAAGCGTTCACCGAGGCGGATTTACTCGATATTCATGGTAGAATCGATCATAGCTCAACTATGGATAGCTTTCTCATAATAATCACGCCGTAAAGAACTAACACTGCACTGCAGACGAACCACGCCATATTTTTATCAACAACTAGTTATCCGTGACGTGACGTCTAGGAGGTGAAAAATGATCGATTATTTTGTACGTCCTGCGAACTTTTTTGTACTCTAGAACGCTTATGCTTGAAAGCTGTGCTAGAGATCAGGTAAGAGGTTGTTCTCACATTGCCATTAAACTATTTTACCATGTACCTTCATTAATAGCTGCTTGTATATTTGGTATCGTTGATACGTTCCATTTACAATGGCACTTTGCATTAAATGTCGATTATCTAACGCTTTTCGTTAACAGACCGGTCTGATTTGGCCTGAACATATGTGAAGCCATGCAGTTGCAGAGTGTGAGAATGTCTTCTAAAGTTAGTCATCCGTATTAGCTGGCTCGCTTGGTGTTCTTTTTTTTTTTTGTTGCGAAAATGAACACTTCTTGGTCCAAGGTGCCGAACAGAACCGCAACAGGCGCTCGCTCATGCAGAAAAGTCTGTGTAATAAGATCAACGAAATTGGGGCTTTTCAAACATCGCGTTCTACCAACAAGTAATCTAAAAGAATGAATTGCGACCATGTTCAGACCACCGTCTCTGTTTCTGGGAGAAGAACGCGAACGAAAACCCGCTTGCTTATGTGATTCAATAGACGCTACCTCATAGAACCGATAGCTATATGGAGCCCTCATGGTTCTTTATCTGTGTGCAGCCCGCTTGAGCTGCATGTTTGTCGTTATAGTTCCATTCATATTATCAGATAAAAAGCAAATTCAGACTGCATTCTGATTCTATGTTGGCCATCATATGTTCGTCTGAAGTATGAAGCTACCTATAAATATATTGAAATGACTAAGAAGAGGAAAACATGAATTAACTTCGCTGGCTGTAGTTAAAGAATGCACATCTTCAAATAAGCGCCATAGAATATCTATGCTACCTGTTAGAGACCAAGCCAAAAACATTACTAGATCCAAGCATAAACTATATTGTTGTAACTGCTCTAAAAAATATATTTTGTAAACAATACTTCAACTTCATTAATTAGTAATTTAAAGGCATCTCAGAATTTTGAGGAAATATTCTTCTTTGCTGCATAACACCGCCTGTAGTACTATAAGGATAAAAAAGAAAAAAAAAACCGTTAGTAAATGTAAATAACGCATTATTGTTATGCTGCAGAGATTTTAATTGTGTTTCCTAGTAAAGGTTCGGCTTATTCTAGATGCTCACGATCACGACGGCTCTGTCCAGGATCTTGCTGCCGTTATCATGATAAGCGTCAAGTTCTCTTTGGACTCCATTTCAACTTAGTTTCTATAGTACATGGTAAACTTCTACAGGGTTGACGCAACAACAGTGACGCAACTTGGTGTAGAAATATCGAGAAAACTGTTCAAAAATCAACATGTAAAATTAAATTTTTAGAAATATCTAAAGAGACATTAGAATATGAATAGCGATCAACTAAATGCGTGCATGGCCCTCATTAGAAGCCTGTTTCTCACTATCCTATTATCCTGATTTAAATGCAAACAAAGTTTTAATGTTACGACATTGCTATGAATTTGCTTTGTAAAATTATCGTCGTTTAAAATTGTACTTCTTTTTCGTTTGACCTCATGTCGTTGAACAGTTGCGCGGAATATTAGAACGACGCCAATACCGCGGTAAATCTTTCCACTGCATATCCTCCTAATTCTAGCCTAAGCCATTTCGTACGACGGTGAGAGTTGTCAGTGAGGCCTTTGCACTAGTTTTGAAGATACAAACAACAGTTCGAACCAATGTTTGCTAACCCGATTGTATTTGTATCCCCCCTTCCCCCGCGCCCCGTATCCCGATCGTGTCGGCAAGGGTCTTGCTGTAAGGTAACGGGACAGTAATAATGACGATGTCAATCCTAATCCCCGTATATTCGTTCGCCCGACATCGTCGTGGGTCTTGCTATTCATGTAATTGTTGACCATCGTATTTTCCGTCTACGTGCATGCGGCTGTGTCCGCTTTGGTTGTAGAAACGCGTTCTGTGACATACACGTTGCTTCATTTTATTTTCGTTGATGCTCCATCCCCTTCACGCTCTTCTTCATTTTCTCTGTGGAGCCTGTCGGCTGGATCTGATCCGATCTGATCTGGACGGCCGGCCGGTACGTTTCGATGAACTGGATTTAATGTTGCTTGCTTGTGCCAGCTGATCCGCTCGATTTCACTCGACAATGCTGTTGCTATTCGTTCACTATTCGTTTATTCTGATGGGCGGCCGAATGGGGCACTCAGCGCCGCCGCAACATTGCGGCGTTCTTACAGAGACAACAATGGCGACGGTATGCCAACTAACTTAACAGCCAGCGCATAACGGAACAGCTGTGCGTCCCGCTCACAACGTGTAGCAAGAATAGCAGTAACAACAACGATCTGTACATGGAATTAACGCAACAATAACGGCAGCAGGGACTATCGAGAGGATGTAAATGTTCGAATCAGCCGCGCCGAAATAAGCATTCAGTTCCAACGCTAGTTGTTAACACTGCGTCGCTGGCTAACGTCTGCGGTGCGTTCCGCCGTTGTCGGATTGATTTTCGACTATGTAGAACAAGCAAATACCCTTATACACAATCGCAGTGCGTCTCTCCTTGGTTCGCAGACTTGGGTCGTCGTAAATGCATATACATATATACACATTAGCAGCACCAATATTATATTGAAAGGTACTCGATCGGCTTTCCTCGACTGAGATATCAGACAAGTGGTTCTCATGATTCGATGTTCGGTCTCGTGCTAGCTTTTCGTAACACGATGCACTCAACGAAACGTTCGCTAATATAAGACGCCTGTGACGAATACGTATCATCTTAATGTGTCCTACGTGTGTTTGTAAACACTAGCAAATAGCAAACGTAGCTAGTTACACAGTGTTTCGTTTCGTTTGTTGCGTCTTCGATCGTTGCGAAAATGGCGATCGGTTTACGCTGGGGCGATCTGTCGGTACGATGCTTGCTTAATTTGCCCAGGAATAGCTAGATCAGTCAATATTGTGAGAAGCAGTAGCAGAAAAAGGAGCGGCCACTCGATATCGAATCGGCGTGGTGACTTCAGTGATACGGCGGGTGTGATTTATGGCACGAATATGTCATGATGTATTAACGACAATTAAATGTATACGGGTAGAGCTGTGGTATGAATTGCCCATAGTGGAATTGAATTGTATCGCGGTGCGAGTGTCGATTAGTCATAAGAGCTCGATCAGTGGTTTTAATGGAACCTCTTTTCTCCTATATGCGGAGTCGTAGATTGACGCGGAAGAAAGATGGAGCCGGTTCCTGTACGGAATACGTGACGCATGTAATGAACCTCTCACCTTCACCCTAACCCCCGTTGGCGTAGTAACCCTACGTCGTGGCACTTTGTCACACACTGTTTATTACACTGCGGTGCATTTCCCATTGGCGTGTATGAGTGTATTATTGCTTGGTCGGTCATTGACGGGGTCGTGCTACGTCACTAATACGATATCTTGTTTGCCTGCCATTCTAGCACCAGGTTAAAAGCCGGTCTAGCTCATGGGTAAAGGCCTGTCATACACTGTGGTTTTGGCGACCTTTTCCATACGACATAGTTCGTTGTGTTATCATTATTATTATTATTATATCAAGCCACTAGATTGGCCGACAAACACACAATTATATTATCTCTAGATAGATCTCGAAATATCGAAAGACGTCGCAAACATCACAGCAACAGCCGCCTCCGCCGCGTAACCGTTCATGGAACGAAGCGTAACCGTGTTACTGCCATATTAGTGAGCGTGGCATTTTCGAGGAGTAGGGCGCTAAAAATCGGGCAGAAATTGCATTGAAACGCAAGCAAAACGAGCCACCCCAGACCGCTGTGTTTGCTTACTATAGCCTCACGCATTGTGTCAGTGTGTCTACGACGGCTGCAAGTCGATCTGTTTATTCTTCTATGTGTGTGTGTGTGTCTGTGTGTGTGTGTGTGTGTTTGTGTGGAATGGTCGATGAATGGATAAACTAAAAGATTGCCTTTATTCATAACGTGTGTGAGTGCGTGCCTGATGGAACGACTGTGTCAAACTATGATGGCTTGGGCCAAATCACTTAGTAAATTAGTCATGAGCGAGTAAGACCCGTTCACGGGCAGACATTTATCAATGAACCGCAGTGTTTTGCGTTGTTCGACAACTATATTC